CCTGTGTCGAGACTGAGCTGATTCTGTATGAGGTCAAGGAGCGGCAGTATTCGTGACCGCAGTCCACAGTGCCCATGATTGCTGTCGACCTGGTAGTTGGAGCACTGGCGGAGCGATGATAGAAGTCGATCGATGTCTCCAAGATAGTACGTCGGCTCCGTGTTGTCATAGATTTTGCTTTGCAACCGTATAGTGTCGATCTTGGAAAAGAAGCGAATCATTTCTCCTAGTTGAAAAGAATCGCATTGCAGCGATGTATCATACCAGAGCTTGCATTGACGTTCTCCTGACGTGTACAGCTTAAGGAAATGAGCCTGTAGAGAGTTGATGGTCTCAAGTATGTACTCTCGCCGTTGTATCAACTCGTCCTCGACGTCTGGTATGTCCCACCATAAGGCTTTTGTATGGTCCTCCTCTATTCCCGGTCGCCACTGGACTGAGTCCCGCATGATCAAATGCTTTGAATATCGCGTCACCCATGATGGATGATCGAAAAGAAGACCAACAAAGAGCTTTTGTCGTATTCTCTCTTCCGTCTGCGTTGTGGCCGGCTTGCCTCTCGACTTTGCGTCGATCAACTGCAGGTACTTCTTTCTCTGTATATGCTTTGACAGGCACGCGACAGCATCGAATCGGTCGGCAACGACGGCGAGATTGGCGAGATTGGCCACGGGGGGATTGGCCACGGCAAGGTCGAGACCGTGGACTGCGCGAAGGAAGTCTGCGATGAGGTTTCGGATAGAAGAGACTTTGGCGACGGCTACACGACCGACATTAACGATCGATATGTGAGGAAGCGCATCGACAGGAACGTCAGCGATTTTGGCACCCTCGCTCAACTGGAGTTCTTCTAAAGCTTTCGCCAGCTGTTGCCCTTCGTGGAAGCGATCACTGAGCAGGTTCTCAAAGTACCGCGAGTTGTGCTGCAGTGTTTTGGAGTCTACGCGATATGAGAATTGCTGTCCGCCCTCTTCCTGTGCGACCTCAAGGACAAGGTCGCCATTTGCGGCGATGACCAACAGGCCCTCCTCATCCGACATGGTGTAAGGTTGATGTTATAACTCTCCAAGGCGTATTTCCTCATGGGTAGGGCCAGAACATTATGACTTGATCAGATGGCGATTCGCTTTCGGTGTGTTGGCTGAGAAAATGGAGAGTGAGGTCACAGCCCGCGGCGAAGGCTGAGCGGCCGCCATCGCTGAACCGACCAATGGGCAGAAGCGAGCTACGGCCAGTGGCGCTGGGCCGACAGCCAGGCGTCCTCCAGCTCTACACCACTTCACATCCTAGGCACAACATGTATCATCTATTCATTTCAAAGAAACACTCCGAAGACTCGGTAAAGTGTTTTCGCATACAACTTACACTGCTTGCTATTGAGACAGACCACTGTGGTCTCGAACATGACTTGTAATTACCTACACCCCTCTCGACACCACCCGGTTAGCAGCTACAGTCACACCCTCAATATCGTCAAGAAATAAAAGCAGGTTTTGATCATGAAATAGATTGATCTTGGCAGCGTAACGAACTCCACGCTGAATGCATATGCCGGGTATATCCTATGCGAAAGGCCACTGATCCGACGCCCCAAACCCATTACAAAAGAGATAGTAGAATGAAGAAGTGTTATCATCTTCACTTTAGACAGAAGCACACCGAACCCCAATAAAAACCGCCCGACTAGCTCCGCGACACGATGGCTCATAACGTGTCAGTCGTAATGTTGGCAGTGAATAGCCACATGCGCATGGCGATATGCTAGCACTTGCGGGAAGGAAGCTTCATCCTCATCCACTCATCGCCGACGATGGCATGGCCGACGCGAGACTCGAAGAATTGACGCTGCTTCTGGGCGCGTTGGACATAGGTGAGGCGGCGCTTGTGTACCCTGCCCTTCTTGTCGCAGGTGTATTCATATTTTTCTTCGCCCTAAATAATTGTTAGTACAAATGTTTTCAGACAGAAGGTTGGCAGAAGAGTACTCACGATGATGGCCCAGAGTGATTGCTCTTGTGGGTTCATGTTGCAGTGGTAGGCCGGCTTCGGAAGAGGCTTCTCGCCGCTAAGCCGGCTGTAGATGCTGTCGACACTGGAGCGAACAGACAACATGGTGAAGTGTGTGGTGGTGGCTTGAGTTCTTGTGTCTTTGTAGTGGGTCTCGGATGAGGTGGCTGGAATGCTCGCCGCGGACGGCTTTGGGTATACGTTACCGGACGAGCTTGGGTTCGTTGTTGCAGTTGTGGTATAAGAGAGTGCGAGGTTGCAAAGTCATGAAGGAGAGAAACGAGTCAGTGGTCTTATGCGGCTAGAGATGTGCTGCACAGTGTTTGCGGCGCGAACCGTAGTTCGCTTCGTTTGTTGAAAAAAGCTGTGATTTTAATCGCGCAAATCGGGGAGCGGTACCGGCATTGCTCAGGGCCGTGGACCACGAACTGCAGCCAACACATGTAGAGGGGGACCGTGTGGATTATATCTGTCAAGTCGACTAGTGGTGGAACGGAAACAGGTAAGCTGGGGCATCATGGGACACGGGGTCACTACAGCGTTATTGCGCCAACCGCGATACGCGGATAGTGAGATGGTTCCAAGCCCCATGCCCAGAGCAGCCAGTCCAAAACGCATCTCCAACACGTTTACTCAACCCAACCACAAAGCTGCAGATCAGAGTACAAATTGCACAACCAACGACCAAACATTGCATCACGATATTGCGCATACCTTGGCGCACCGGACTACGCAACGTCCTTGCGCGGCGCCCAGAAACGCGGAGGCTTGTCGCGAAAAAGATGCGGCCGGCCGCGACTTATATAGGAGACCACGCACTGGATATGAGGCGCAATCGAGGATCTTCATATACCAAGACTCTTGGCTATGATCTGTAGGTTAGGAAGCGTGTATCGAGAACCGAATCGGGACTTGCAGCTTGCGCGTGGGGAGTAGATCTGCGGAGGCTGGTGCACGAGAGGTTAGACGATGCGCCATCCCGCGCGTTGATCACAGAGCCTCCACGACGCATCACTGTGGCCTGCGGCCTCTTCCATCACTTTTCCACCCCACGGGGTCTTGGTTCTAACTAGTACGGGCGGGAGCTTTAAACCTTACTGCACCGATTCCACGTATTGCTTACTCAAAACGCCAAACCTCCAATTTCCCAAATCGCCAGTCGTGCAGCATCCAAAAGTAACTTCTTCCAAGACTTCATGGCATGCCTTGATCATCATATGGCAGTCACACGTCCCCCAAAGGTTGGTATGCATGCTTGTTAGAGATAACGAGAGGGTGGTGATAACTCTTGCCCCCCCTATCATCCACGTCGTCTCACTGTTATGCCGTTCAATAACCATAGGGGGCAAACGCGGCCGTACATCAAGGGGTTGTTGCCGATTGGTCACTTGGCGCTCCAGTGGATGAAGAAGCGGTATTCGTAATATACACGTATACTTGTGGCGGATCAGGTTACAAAGGTCCTGCACATGCCCATACTTCTACGGTCAGGTCCCCACATGAGAACAGTGGCGCAGGAGATAGAAAGGATGATGGAACGAGCCGGCGATCCGCTTCGGTACTGAGCGAGAACAACACCAAATTGCGCTTTGATCCAAACCTAATTAATAAGTCAAGGCGAACACGTTCTAGCCCTGGAGACATAGCCATGCCCAGGCGGAATGGATGGAAGAAGAAAGTGAATCTACCAGCAATCGTTCCTGCTTCTGTTGTTCATAACACTACAGTAGCAGCCGCGGTGATTCCCGCAAGCATTGCGATAACAGTGAAACACGGTTCTGCAGCGGTGTCGTCTTGGTCGCCCTGAACTTCATCCCGCATTGTGCTTGTCTATACTCCTGTATTTGGCGAATGCGACACTTCCGGTCGTTATGCTGACGTTAGAGAGCTTTCCTGCTGTCGCCTGAGAATTACTCGGCAACGTACTGTTTTCTTCCTCTCAGGAGAGTTGCGTGGATTCGGCGATAAGACTTGGGGTCAGAGCCTGCCACTGCAGATGCCTGCACTTCCAACGACACATGTGCTGGACGATTGGACAGACTCTAATGTGGGAATCATTGAAGCCAATATCGGAATGGTCTCTTTCTTCCGTTCTGTCTTTACATTCAATACATCTGCAGGTAGTCAGGTGAACCACAGGAGTATGCTCCTCAAAACGAGAACATGTATTCTGATTCTCTTGTTAATATGTCATATCTAGACAGTTCATAAATCGCACTGGTGACGAATCTAACGATTGCATCAGTGTATAACGGTTCATTGTCGTGAGTGGTTTAAAATCTTGTCATGCAGGAGAATCTCACCTCTTCGTGAGTGTCAATATATGCCACTTGTGTAGGAGGAACAAGCGTATTGGAGCTACCAGCGCGCAGTGGCACGGAGGGTCATGCATAAGAAACACTGCTTCGCAGAAGGGTCAAGATACTACAATAAATATACAACATGATGGTCAATCTCGTGGGAGCAGAGACAAATCCGTATGGCGAAGAGCGATAGCTAGAATGGTAATTTGGCTCCAATCAAAGGTGTATTTGCTCACAAGAAGCGGCCACTCTGGTTTGTGGGTAATCACTCGTACATCGGTACAATGTGCTGTGCTCTCATGGTGCAGTGTGAACAAACTCATTCTACTTATGCTGTACCACGAGACATATGGTATACTATAAACTACGTCGAGTCCCGTAACCCAAGTCATTTTTCGTCTATAGGAATCACTAATGACACGGGAGGCAGCAACGAACAATGCGACCTAGCGATATCGGAATGCTCGCAAGTGAGGTTGAAAAAGCATAACTTGGTCGTGTTTGTGGAGCCTCGAATGGTGAGAAAGATGAGCGGTGGCAGGTCGATGTTCGGCGCAAGGCGGCCGACGTCGGAGGGGCGAGGCATCTAGCGGGGCTGGCATTGCACCGTGGGGTAGCTTCACGAGTCTTTGGTAAAACTTGCTGAGCGTGCGATACCCATCATCGAAACTCATATATACTCAATTCATCATGACTGCTCACAATATTGTTGTTCTTGCTGGTAAGCTATGTTCCTGGAAATAGGACAAGCAGAGTGCTAATTGCATCCAGGTGACGGTGTCGGCCCCGAGGTAATAGCAGCCTCGACACTTTCTCTGCGCAACTACTCACGAGCATGTTTAGGTTGTCGCTGAGGCGATCAAGGTCCTCAAAGTTGTCCAAAAGCACACAGACAACACTTTCAACTTCAAAGAGCACCTGTTTGGAGGAGTAAGTTTTGAGCCATGACGTAAAGAATCCGCGGTAACATGTTCTAGTGCTCGATAGACGCGCACAACAACCCTCTCACAGACGAAGCGCTCGAAGCAGCCAAGTCAGCCGACGCCATCATTCTCGGTGCTGTCGGTGGACCGGTATGAGCCTCCAGTCTCCAAACTATGCAACGCCTTCTGACAATTCATGTAGAAATGGGGAACCGGCAAGGTGCGCCCTGAGCAAGGAATCCTAAGACTTCGCAAAGAACTCGGCACCTTCGGAAACCTGCGACCGTGTTTCTTCGCCTCTGACTCTCTCGTCGACTCATCGCCCCTCAAGGCTGACAACGTCCGCGGCGTAAACTTCAACATTATCCGCGAATTGACTGGTGGCATATACTTTGGCGACAGGAAGGAAGACGAGGGCGATGGCAAGGCCATGGACACGGAGCCATACAGCGTCGAAGAGATTGAACGCGTCGTACGGTTAGCAGGTAGTCTCGCATCCGTCGAGGACCCGCCCGTGCCAGTATGGAGTTTGGACAAGGCCAATGTGTTGGCAACCTCGAGATTATGGCGGAAAACTTTTGAGCGCATCATGAAGGACGAGTACCCGCATCTCAAGTCGGGCACCCACCTCATCGACTCGGCGGCTATGCTTATGATCAAAAACCCAAGAGCGCTGAACGGCGTTGTAGTTACCAGCAACTTGTTCGGTGACATCATTAGCGACGAGGCTAGTGTCATTCCAGGAAGTCTGGGTCTGCTGCCGAGTGCCAGTCTGGGCGGCATCCCAGATGGCAAGACCAAGCTGAACGGAATCTATGAGCCCATCCATGGTATGTCTTCTCATCTATCACTGCATGTGCGCCTGCTCACAAATACTAGGCTCTGCGCCCGACATCGCCGGCAAGGGCATCGTCAACCCCATCGCGACCGTCCTTTCTATCAGTATGATGTTCAAGTACTCTTTGTGCCTACCAGAGCTTGCGCAAAAGATCGACGAGGCGACCAGGATTACCATCGACAACGGTATCCGCACGGCTGACATTGGCGGAAAGTCAAGTACGAGTGAAGTCGGTGATGCGATAGCTGCGGAGCTAGAGAAGCTGCTCCAGAAGTAGATTTGAATAGTGGAATCACATACTATGAGAAGCTAGCGATCATGACACTGTAACGTGAATCTGGACGCCTCCGACACCTACTTGACCTGGGAGGGAAATGTATCGCTGTCAGCAGGTGCCAAGGAATGCATGCCTACGCCATTCGCAAGCACCTGATGCATACAGGCCAGCAAAAGAACATACATGGACGTTCATTAGCTGGCAAGACGATCGTGTAAAGTCGCAGTGCGTGGGGAAGGACGTCGAAGGCGAGCAGAAGCGATAGAGCCTTATTGTTGCCAGCTTACCAAAGTTCTCACCTCTTATTGATTCGTCGAAGCAGTCATCTATTCAAGCAACAAGTCCGAGGTCATACGTCCAGGAGTGCGGTCCAACTTCCCCTGTTGGACACTCAATGCCATCGGTGGAGGAGCTGGAAAGGCGGATGCACGAAGGTAACAGAGAACTGCATCCTACGCTAATAGTGCCGGACTATGGTACGACTCACAAATGCAGATCCAACGCATGGGAAAGTGGCCCGATGAAGCTCCTGTCCTTCTCCAGCTCTTATGGTGGAACTACGGCTCGGGATCCGCAAGCAGAAACTAGGATCATCGCTGCGTACAACTGTCTCATCCACGCGCTGAAGAGTATCTACAATCAAGCACCTCACACTCCAACCACCGAGTACAAGAATTTCATATGGCACAGTCTGGCGACGTATCAGTGTTCGGTCGCTCAGCTGGGTACGTTGGCATCCGAAGGAGAGCGTATAGAATAGAAACCGGGCTTCGATCCTGTGTAGCAAAGCGCAACAATATCAGCTCTAAAGTGTACAGGGGGATGATGAACAGTCTCACGCCCACTCTGTACCAACTACTAAATGCCCCTCTTGCTGATGTATGCGCCAGGGGCTACAGTAGCATAGATAAGACGATTCAGTTGCCTATACTCTGCATAAACCATGACGCCACTTCGGAGAATGGGTTACAGCACTTGCATCATGGCTTAAGAACGGAGAGTAAGACCATGAGGTGGCGTATGTGGAAGTAGAAAGCTGAGTGGTGGAAGTTTAGTACTTGTAGATTTGATGATTTACAAGGGAGATTGAAGTATACCGCTCATGCAGAGAAGAGACGGACAACATGACTAGCCATCGTAGTATCATCTTTGAGTTTCCGTGGTATATTGGTACGCTACATTGGCATCCTAACGCACTATATGAGCTGGAAGAGGTCTCGGCTATACGGGTATCTAGTGGGTTGGGTTAACACAATCGAGCTAGGCCTCAAAGGCCCGGAACAAATTGTCAAGACTTCGATGCAGGAGTTACAGCTAGCAGAAGCGCCAGGAATTGGATAGACTTGGTAGACCGTGTACTCCTGATGCACACAAGCACTGTAGGTTGAAAGAGGTGGCATATTGCCGTGCATGAAGTGATACTGCCTAAACATTGCTTTTTTCCCGAGAGGACGCCAGGGCTTTCTAGGACTTTGAAACCAGATCCAGTCAGTCTTGTACGTGCTGCATGTACAATTTACTTCTCGCAAAGGGATATGCTACGATTCTCAAGGTGTTGTGGCAACTGGTTCACAGCGTACTGGGCAAACAAGGTCTGGATGCCCGTTAGCTTCATCACAGCATCACAAACGTTCTGGGCGTGACGGGGCGAGCGCATCGCATCGCTGTTTGTCGTGAGATTTGCATTCACAATTCAACGGCCTGACGGCATCTCACTGGTCCATATCAGATTCCAGGGCGCTGCACCGGCGCCTCCATATACATCGTTTGTTGAACAACGGGTCCCCGGGTGACTCGGGGGACCAGGACAAGGAATACCTCGCTTGTCATTCCAACTGGCGGGCCGCGATAGATATCCGTGCAGATATCGCTTCCCAATCGATAAAGCAGGTGATGGTGAGGTGAAACAATCGGGCGGTTGGGATTAGCGGGATCTCGTTAGTTGTCCCACCAGGCGCTTCATGGTAAGTCCGTGTTTGCCTGCCTGGGCGATCAAATGGCTGCCCGGAAATGGCGCGGGAATCCCTAATGTCAAAATAAGCCTTACTGAGATTTGACGGGTTAAGGCCACTTGGAAGCTGGGATATTGTGAACGGTGTTGTAGGGTTCTAGGTATCTCTCATGACATGGGACCTGGATGTCGTCGACGATATAGAGTGATGGTGTCTTTCAGACTACTTTGTACTGTGTCTGATGGTGGCTGACGATAGCACCTATTTCGAGGCATACCGAGGAGAGCCGACGTCACGATAGCGGCCAAGCAAGCGATGTCCTCAGGATTGTCTTCGTGTAACGAAGAATTGACTCTGTTCACAAGACCCCTCTCGTATTACGTTGCATCCAAAAGAAGCGAATTTGGAACTCGTGCCTAGAGGCCGCCTTGGATGCCCAACGCCGATAGTTCCGATTACGTATATGGAGCTCTGATTCCAGGCGAGCGTCTGGAAGCGCGTCACCGAGCGTCCCCTGCAGCTGTGGATACACATGATGACACCCCTCCAGTGGGAATGGCAAGAAGGCTAAAAGCAGGTAGAACATTTACGGAAGGTGGCATATGTCGCATAACGGCATCCGCAGCCCGCTTCGAATCCCTCTTGCAGTTGACTGTGTCACACATCAACTTTTCCCAAAGCAAGTTTGTAAACCTGAATGTTGATACACTATGTATACTGCAGTCGGAGACAGTAAAACGAAGGGACATGGTGAAAACAAACGTTCGGGAACGGATGATCACACACGCACGTGGCGAGCTCAAGCGAGTGCTCTTATCGATATGAGTTTTGTCGCGCTGAGGGACCCCTTGTACGTCAACCCGCACTGGAAAGCCAGCCGAAAAACGTTGATGATCTCTAATGGTGAAACATAAGGCCTCGAATCCTGTGCTAATCATTGTTAGATGAGGTTTAGACGGCAGGCAAAATCTCGTGTGTGATTCCCCGCCTTGACATCCCTTGGCAGGAACAAGCGCCGCTCCTATGCTCAAAAGGGCAACGCTTGAAACATAGTCCGAGGCTCTTCAGCCAGGAACAGTGCAAACACCTTTGCGGTCCTGAACGGGGCTGCTCCGAGACCCCACAGACTCTCGCGTCTCGCTGTTTCGAAACAGTAAGGCCAACTTCGTATCCGCACGTACGCGAGCTGGCCCTCACTCACATTGGTCGCGACGTAGTTAGGGGCTACCAGTCAGCTCTAGTGTTGGGTAGACTCGACTAACATGCTGGTCACAACGGCGTCCAGCCGCTGGAGACTGGCCGTGCTGGGCGGGAATACATACGAGCCCGCCGGCATTCTTGGTCCAGTCGTCGGTAGACGATATAAAGGCTCGAGGCCACCCGATGCGGAAGAGGGCATCACTCCCAGTGGCACACATTCCCTCCCGACAAGCAAGTCTTCGTCGACATTCATTCTACATTCACTCTTTTGTGTTCGAAAACGCTGGATCGTCTTCATTTTGAGCTTCTTTGTTGCTACCTAGGAGATTTCACCCAGACACTTCCAATATTCACAGTGGGACATTGTCAATAGACTATCCTTTTCGAATATCCAGCACTTAAAGCTCCAAAACCTTCATTTGATACCCAGAAAAAGTCACTCATCGCGAACACGGTCTTTACGAATCCATCCACAAACATCATCATGTATACGAACATTATCTCTGTGCTCGCCCTGGCTGGCGCTGCTCAGGCCCACATGTCGATGTACTACCCGGCTCCCTTAGGAGGAGCCCCTGCCATCAACAAGCAATCAACGGAGCTTGACCCCGAGTTCAACTTCCCGCTTGGTTGCTGTGGACCTGACGGTGGTGACAGCAGGCCCTCTCCTGGTATTTGCCGCGGTCACCTTGACAAGTTCGACACTGAGGATGCTACTGTCACCTGGCAGCCTGGACAAGACGCTTACTTCCAACTGACAAACTATGACTACGACCCAGCGGCGCCTGGTGGTACCCACTATGGAGGATCTTGCCAGGTCGGTTTCTCGACCGACAAGGGCAAGACATGGAAGATGGCCGCTTCATACCACGGTGCTTGCCCACATGCCACCGAGGATGGATCACCTGAGGCCCAGACCTTCGACTTCAAAGTACCTACCGGTATGCCTGAAGGTGATGCTATCTTCGGTTGGGTATGGCTCAATCGCGAACACGAGGTAAGTCGCGAGTGAGACGAGATACATGCGAGATGTATGCTAACTTCATTATAGTCATTCATGAACTGTGCTAAAGTCCACATTGGTTCTGGCTCTGGTGCTGGCTCTGGCGATAGCACCGAGCCCAGCGAGCCATCTCAGTCTGCAACGCAGCCCGAGCAACCAGCATACTCCGAGACTGAGCCTGAGGAGACTCCTCAGCCAACTTCCGCACAGCCTGAGGCTCCCGCCGAGGACGATAAGAGCTCCGAGCAATCGCCACCCGCTTCGCCTGTCGAGGACAGCCCGGCTGTCGTCGTTACCACTGTCGTAGCTACTACTATCTACGAGCAGTACCAGCCTACACAGACAGCGACCAACGACTCTGAAGCTTCCGAAGAGACTGATGACTCAAGTGACGGCCACTGGTGGAACCGTCCTCACCAGAAGGTTAAGGCAGGCACTCGTCGTTATGCAGTTGACGGCTCTCGCTGTGAGTGCCGTCGTGACGAGCTTACCCTTGCGGCTCGCTGCTCCTGCGATTCTACCAACAAGGCTGTCGAGCGCAAGGCTCTTCGTATGCACCGCCGCACCTTCTACAAGCGTGTTGATGCGTGTGATTGGAACTCGGCCCCCAGAATGGAGGTCTCGTACTTCACTGAGGATGCCAACTGCGCCCCCAATGCTAAGGCTCACATGCCTGAGAGCGACACTTTTGAGTTGGGCTGGGATGTCAACTGTGGTGTCGTTGATGGCCAGAGTGAGTATGAGATCAAGACCATGAGCTGTGACATGTATGGTTAGATGGTGGGCCGTCAGAGCGTTTCTTCTTGGTGTATGCCACATATTCTTTACATTCTTCACACTCGTTCATCACGTTCCTGGACGCTGGGTTTTTCTTCTCTTCTTCTTTGGGAATCAGGGGTGCCTATCATACGCCCTTGATCTTTCCACTTTGGCACTGCACATGCAGGGCGGATTGGCTTGTTTGGTTGCATCTGGGAGGCTTCACGACATCCACACATACATCTTATGACGGTTAGCCTGGGTTGGCACTGGGAAAAAGACATTGTACAACACTAGTCACACTGCGAAACAATTGAAAACGTTCGCTTTCAAACAGGCTTCACAGTATGCTGATTGCAGGACTAATCATGATAGTTATTCATTCACTGACTATTCAAAGTCCGATTATAACCCTCTTGAGTGAAAAGCAGGAGCAATACCGAGTTGTGATACGCAAGTAACAGCAAATGGCGATCTAAATCCTAGGACGATTGTCCACCCTTCCTGCCAGCTTCTTGGCCTTCTCACTGTCAGGCTCGAAGATACCGGATGAAGCCTTACGACCCATGGAAGCAATGTCGTGCTGTAAATATTAATAGTGATCGTGCTGAGTAGTGTGTTGCAACAGATGGACTCGGATGCTTCCACGAAGAATCGCCCAGTATAACTTCCAGATCCAGGTGCTGAGCTGTACGAGAGCTGGATGAAGAATCAAACATATTAGCATGGCTGGTAAGAGCACGCACCGGCAGAACCCATTAATTGCACAAAATTGTACAGAGTGGTTAAGACTCTACTCTTCCATGTACTACGGGGCGCACCTAACATGCGCCAACATAAACGGTAGACAAAAAATAGATAAAAAAGAGCTCGAGTACCTAGGTAACGATCCTTGACAACGCCAGCGTCCAGATCATCATGCTCGTAACCAAGTCAGCCCAGTATACGCTTCCATCACGGCGCCGCCCCAACTCCATGTTTGGGTGGAGATTTCCATAAACCCGGAGTTAATTCCAACGTTATGACCGGTATCTCATATCCAAACCCTTTCATAGCGCGTACAATAGGAGGCCAGGCATCCTACTCCTGTGTCTTTCCTCCACCCATACGCTCAATGTTAGACAATAACCTGCTCTTCCCGCCACTTTGGCTCCTGTTCAGTCCGGGAGTACCCTGAAATTTTAGACCACCTGGTGCACGAAGACCGGACGGCTTGGCGATGGCACTACCTGTGCGCTCATTCATGGCCCCTAGACGGTCACCCATAGCACTGCCGGGGCGTCCGCCAACGAGTGCAGACGCAGGGCGAGGAGTGCTGGTGCCACCAGCAAGGAAGCCTGTGTTGCGCATTGCTTGTTGGGGTGGTGCTTGTTGTTGAGGCGCAGTAGGTGGCGCAGAGCTGATTTGTGAACGGCGAAGGTCGTCTTGTTGCATCTCTTCCATCTTCTCACCGCACATAGACAGCATTTGTTCGGCAGCTGCTACCAGCTCACCCTTCTCAATGCGCTCAGCCTCGAGATCCTCCACAAGTATATCATGGGACTTGCGAAGGGAATGAAGCTCAGATTGCAGACCAGCGAGTCTAGCTTTGAGGTTCTCGATTTCGGCTCTCTGCGCTTCTAGCATCTGAGCGTCTTCGGCGTTTCGTGTAGACTTTGTGGGGGATGCTCTTTGGTTTTCGTCCTCGGAGTTATGCTGATCGGGGTTGATCCTGCTGAATGTGCTGTCACGCTTTTTCTCTGCCTCCTCAACTTGTCGTTCGAGACTAACAATCTGCGTCCGAAGCTCCTTACACTTATCATCGGCCTTCTTCTGGTAGTTGTCCTTGAGGGCCTTGATCTTCTTCTCATGCTTGGCCTTGTAAGCTGTATGTAGGTCACGTGCAATCTCATTGACCTTCTCAGCAATCGCAGATTGGCATTCGAGCTCAGAGTAGACCTTTTTGTTCTCGTCTCCCTCGTCGTTATTGATGAAAGTCGTCATGTCCACGTTCTTGCTTTCAGCGTCAATGACCTTGGTTTCAAGCTCAGCCGAGCGGCTCTCAGCATCATCCGCACGCTTTTCAGCATCAGCTAACCTCGCTAGGAGATCTTCACGCTCAGCGTCATTACGAGCCATCTCGGCCTGGACGTCTTGCAGTAATCTTTGGACCTCTTCACCCTTTGATTTCCAGTCGACCATTTGAGTCTCTGCATATTCGCGAGCTGAGCGTTCGTCGCGGACGGTCTCTTGGGCTTCGCCAACCCGGCGCTCAGCATCGGCAATAGCTTTTGAAAGAGCGTCGATCTCGGCTTCTTTTCCAGATAAGCTAGCTGTAAGAGACGAGACCTGAGATTGGAACTGGGATTTTACAGACTCCAACTCACGAATAGTGACAGTAGGCAGTGAACGTGGTGTTGGTGGTGGAGGCAGCTCGAAATCTAACAAATTCAACATTTGACTTCTCTGGTTCGGGGTCGCAGGTACTTGCGATCCACCTTTGGCCGGTGATCGCTGGTTTTGGTAGTATGCGCGGAGGTTTGGCTCAGCAGCGGACTTGCTAGGCGAATGGCGGCTGCGTCCTGCTGACTCACGGCGGGATGAGGAAAAGGATTCGATCTGAGCTGTAAAGTCTAGGAGTAGATTTGTAGTATCATTGTCGTTGTATGCGCGCCGTGGCGTAGGGCTAGGTGTACGTTCGGACCGGCGGACTGTGGACGGGGTCATTTGAGTGCGAGCGCGAGGCGTAGCCTTGTCATGTTGTCAGTATCTTGTATCAGACGGATGTCGTACGAACTCACATCTGGCATCTGGTTTTTGGCTGGGCTCTGCTTTAGGCCGGCAAACTTTGTCATATCTATTCCGGGCATTTCTGAGAAGTTGCTGAAGCAGGTATCGTCAACATCCAAGGATGTTACTTCTGGGCCGTCTGGGTTGAAGTCCGTGTTGTCCATACTCAGATCGATCTCGTATTCGTCGTTTCGCAAAGATTGTTTCCTTGGAGTTTCCCGATTTCTCGAGCTACTCTCTTCCATGAATTTCATTGCAGTGGTCAAGCCTTCATTATCACGAAGGGCTGGCTCTTGGTGAGAAGAGGCCGGTCGTTTTGATGGCGTAACAGATATTTGGCGTTGGTGTGTATGTGTTGTCTTGCGCTGAGCCGTTCCGGGCGAAGGAACGCGGGACGATTTCGAGGGTGACTGGCTCTTGTGGGAGTTGCTGCTCATTGCGGAGCCTGGTCGCTCGATGGGAGTCTCCTTGGCTGAAGAGATATCTCTCTTGGGCGTGTGTTGATCGTCGCTGCTAATTTTGAGTGCCGCGTCGTCGAAGTCGTCCATTAAATTCTTCACCGGGAGCGTCTTCATTGGGCTTGTGCGCTCTTTCAGCCCATACTTCTTCTCTGGCGACACTCTGAACACAGATTGCGGTGCGCTGTCCTCCAGATCAACTAGTGGCTTCACGGGTGTGGCCGCTGCGTTGGGGGCAATATTCTCTTGGTCTTCGACATCGATGTGGTCCATAAAAGGCGATGAGGGAGGGTCGTTGTACGCCATATCGATATCGTCGATGATGATGTCGTCAGAGTAGGTGTTTAGCTTCTCCGACGAAAGACTTGACATTGGTTCCGTCATGTGTGCGATTCGGAGTTTGCGGTGTCTAGAGTCGGCCACAGTGTCGATGCGGAGCGCACAAGAGTGTGTTGTGGCTGCTTGTTTACAGTCCGTGCGCACTCGTTGCCCCTTCCTAATACGGTAACCCCCGTTTTGGCCGAAACCCTGAGCCAGCCGCTGTTCACGACGTGCTGCATTGCCAAAATCTGCTAGTAAAAGCAATATCACAACATACGCACTGGGTTTGCACAGGTGATGTGTATGATTAGGATTCTCGGTCCTAGTTAATTGTGTATATATTTCCGCCCAAGTGCATAATCCATTTCAATAGTTGATTGCTCCTCTCAATGCGCCCGCAAGTCTTTGGTACTCCTTTAGTAGCTCTTCAACCTCCTTGAGCTTCAAGTCTTGAGCATCCTTCGCCTCTAAAAAGCGTTTGGAAGGCGGTGCAGTCTTCTTTAGCTGCTCTAACGCAGCAACTGCTCTCGCTCCCTTGTCATCTATTGGCGGTATTTCATTCGTGGCTGTGCGGCTCAGCGGCTCTGGAGAAGGCGATGCCTTGACCTGCTCTTGGCTCGGGGATGGGAGTACAGGCGTGCTACTGCTGCTTACGGCGCGTGCAAAGCGGGGCAGTACGTTCATACTGGACAATCGGTTCAAAGGATTGAAGTTGTTGCCCATGTTGCGTATAGAGTCAACAGCGGAAATGTTGCCTGGTGCTGGACCATCCGCCTTAATAGGAGCTGGTGATGGTGCCTTCTCTTCTACATTCTGTGATGTAGCGAATGCAACACGTCGTCCGCTACTGCTTCCCCCGGATTTAGTGGAATCGACGCTACGATCTCTAATCTGCCTTTTGCCAGCAAAAAGATCAGCCATCTTCGCGTCCAACCCTTTGCTAACTGGGGTTTCTGTAGACTCGTCACCATGTACTGAACTCGCTGCACTGACACTCAAGTTGTCATCATCCCGCTCTGCACGAGTGGGAGAGCTCACAAGCTTCCTTGCATCTTCCAGTGTCTTGGGGAGTACCGGTTGTTCCTGCATGGGTCCATCTGGGTTCTTTTCCTTTAGACCACCGAAGAAGAACTTGAAGCTGGTGTCTAATGTGTTGTTAATTCTGCCAAGTGCTTGGTCGGCGGAATCAAGAATCGAATCCCGAACTGCATCAGAAGCAGCCTCAATTTTGTTAGTCTGCGTTTGGATGAGGTTGCTCAACCGACGCTGAGCTTTGGTAGTTGTCGGACTTGAAGGTTCCCTGGAATGAGTTTTGGAGATAGGAGTGGCTGGAGTTTGGATAAGATCCGGCGCGTCCGAAAGTCCCAAGGGCATTGGTGTTATCTCGGATTTGGGCGTCGAAGGCCTCGAGTCTGACTTTGTAGGAACGGCTTCTTCGGCACGTAGGGAAGAAAGATCGACAGTTTCCAA